GCCTTGCCGGGACGAGGAGATGTTGGTCTGGGTTAGGTAACGCGATCCAGCATCGCCTGCTCGAGGTGCCGAGGACAAGGGTGCGCTTTGTTCTGCCTCGCTGCTGAAATGGAGAGCACGGTGGGCCTTGAACCGGCCCGAAAATGCAGGCGGGGGGGGGAAGGTGCCCGCGCCCCCTGCCTGCCAGGCCGGGGCGAGGGAGCAGCTCTGCATCCAGCTGCGGCAGCCCCTCGCTGGATTTTCCAGCTGGGAATGCTCTTTAAAAAGCAAAGTTTGGGAGGGGAGCGCTCTGGTGTGGCTGCCCTGCAGGGTGCTGGTTCTCCCTGAGAATTTGGGGGTTTCTTTCTCCCCACATTTCCTCCCAGCCCCATGTTTCTGGCTGGCTTCACTTTGGGATGGCGCAGCTGGATGTCTGCGGGCATCGCGATGCACCCACCGGCTGGGGAAAACCACCGTCTCTCTGTGCTATTTACTTGCTTTGCTTATCGTTCGCTTCTCTCCAGCTCTTAAACGCCAGGGGGACGGCAACCGCACAAACCCTTTATACCCATCCCCGTCGGCGCTGGCTGGGGAGGACGGCGCGGCAGGAGCCCTCCTGCGTACGGCAGCGCCGCGGCGGTGACAGTTGGGCTCCCTCCCCACGCCGCCAGGATCAGCTGTTGGGTGCACAATATGCTCTGGTTTTCCTCTCCAGCTGTTGTCGCTGATGGTTATGGGAAGCGAAAGGTGGTTGAGAGTTCGGTATCTCTAAATCAGGGAGGTGATGGGTAGAAAGGAGGGGTTGAGGGAGGGCTCGGTATATCTGAGGCTGTTTTTTGTTTAAATCCGGCAAGACTTGAAATAACGGGAAAAGAGTGAAATGATCTTGGGAATCAATTTTATTGCCAGCGTAGCAGTGGCCAAAGAGCCATTTTGAGGGAGCTGGATGCAGGCAGGCAAGGCGAACATGGTGGGCTCGAAGGAAGGGAAGGAGCAACACAGTACGTTCAGGAGATAATGTGTCTTTTTAGGGCAATAACGGAGATTTTAAGGCGCTCGGCCCCGTCTCTCTGGATCTATATCCCTGGCAACTTCTGCAAAGGTTGCTCTGGCTTCTGCCGCCATCCATCTTACCCTGCCGCGTTGCTGCGAGCAAAGATCCCTTTTTATGTTTGGTGGTTAGATATATTGCCCCTGCTTCCCTTTCTGCTCCCGATCCCTTCTCAGCAGAATTCCCCGTGGCTTGAAAATGCTTTTAATACATTTGGTTTAATTGCTTTTAATTAAAGAAAAATAAAAATAGTAATTGAAATGGCCAGCGTGCTTGGGAGGAAGGGTTTTGAAGGGATTCGGCTCTTTGCTGCTTGCAGGCAGTGCCGGTAGCAGCGCGTGAACGAAGTAGCCCCCCGTGTTATCGCCGCACGGCGCGTGTAATTCTGGTGTTTTGTGTCCTGATCTGCTAGGTGGGGAGGCATCCCACATGCCACGTTGCGTGCAAGCCGAGCGGGTGACACTCCAGCGAGTAAAGGTCTGGGCAGGCGAGTGAAGATGGGTGCGGGAGCCTTGCCGGGGTGCCCGATGAAAGCCCAGCACGCCTGGCCCCGGCCCCGCTCCGTCGGGCAGGCACACCGCGCCGGGCTCCCGGCGTGCGCAGCGTGCTGGGGTTTCCCTTTGCAATCCCAGCGCTACAGCGGGGCTTTCTCCCTAATGAGATTAGCGACACAAAGCGGCGATTCTTCTGCCGCTTTTAATGGACGTTTGGGGTTTGTGTGGGATCGGAAATTCCTACTTTCATCAGATGAGCCCTCTCTGTGACTATTTTGTGGACAGATCTTCCTTTCCTCGGCTTCAGGGCTGACATTCATATTGGCACAAGCGTTTTAGGCTTTCCCCTCCCGCCCCCCTCTGCCTGCCCTCCTTCCCAGCCCTCGCCATGGTGATTTTTATCTTCTTTCCTGCTTTGAATCTCGCTGTCAGCCCAAGCCGCTTCCATCTTGTGGAGGACACGAAAGCTCGGTGGCCTTCCCTGGCCAGGCTAAATGCAGCTGAGAGGAAGGAGAAATGCAAAAGTCGCTCCTGGTTCGTTCTTGCAGGTGCTCCTTGGTCTCCCTAGTTGAGATGTGCAAACACGTCCGTGCGCGTATGTATACATATATAGGGCATCCATCTAGTGCTTCACCTGACGGAGGGCTGGCTGTCCCTGCCTGGTGACATCCGGGCCAGGTTGGCAATTTGTCAGGAGCCCAAGGGCTGTGCTTCAATTTGAATATGGATTTGCATAATTCATCAGGAATTAAACCGCACCGCCATAATATTTGCCTCTGCGTTTATCTCCCGTTATCGGTGGCGGGGAGGTGCGTGGTGTCGGGCGTCTGCTGGCCGCAGAGACCCCTTTTGGCTTCACGGGTCAGCGCTTTTTCGGTGCGGAAAAGGTGGCGTGGGGTGATGTTCGGGAGGATGCGGGGAGCACAGGAGCCTGTGGAAGGAAAAAGGGCTGAACGTGGGCTTGGGGGGGGAGGCTGGGCATAAGGCTGAGCTTTTGAGCCTGGTTTCCTCAGGAAAAGAAGCTTATGGGATCGTGCTCCATCTGTGGGCCTCATTCTTCCACGCCCAGATGTTTGCAGCCCATTGCTGAATTTCTCCCAGGGTGGTTTTGGTTGCTGCAGATGCTATGGAGGTCAGCACTGGCCTCTGGGAGAGGGATGCGTTTGCCCCTGTGGCACATGGAGCCGTGTAGGCGGACGCCTCCGGCTTCACCACACACTTGCCCTGTCCTGGCCGAGCGGGAGACATGAACCCGGAGCTGATGGGACTCAGTTGGGTCATGGGTGATGCCCTCACTCCAGCCCTGGGATGTTTCTTCCAGACGGTCCCCTCTCGCTGCCCGGACCCCCGTGTCGTGCGGTGGTTGCTGCCTGTTCCCTGAGTGTGCATGCGTTGGGTGCTGTGCCTCTCCGGGCCTCAGTTTCCCCTTGTGGTGCCCCCCCCCTCCCTTGCAAGGCACCCCAAGAGGCGCTGAGCCGTGGCAGCTACTTTGCAAACAAGAAGGTTTAAAATAAGCAGCGACGGAGGCTGCGTCTCCCAGGGCTTTGAGTCATCCCAGCTCGTGCTGACTGCGCCTGGCAGGGGCCTGGGAGGCAAAACAAACCCGCGTCCAGCTGCCACCTCCCCGCTAGATGTTAGCGGCAGGGTGGCTGGTTGGGTTTCGGTGGTGGCCCCCCCCACCAGCAAAGCGGATTGAGCTGCTGTGGGGAGATGCCACCTCACTGGTGGCTCTGGTGAAACCCATGGCTTGGGGCAGTCCCCAGCTTGGGAACTTGCAGTTGGGCCACCTGATTTCTGGAGGCAGTGGCACGATGAGCAGCACCAGTCTGGCATCGTGCGGGTTTGGGTTTGCAGAATGGGGGGTGCTGGGGCTCCTTTCCATCATGCCTGGGCTTGGGCATGGTGAGGGGACCGTCCTAGCTGTAACCCCTCACCGTGCTGGACAGGAGGACAGGCAGGGATGAACCCTGGGGGTGATCCGGCAGTGGCCCCCCACCCACCACCCCACGCAGAGGGAAGGCAGCCAGGACAGCGGGTGGCCACGGCCGGCGATGGGAAGCCGAGGGGAGGAGAGGGCAGGTGGCATTTACCTTTCGGTGGGCACCCCGGCGTGCGTCCCTCCGCAGGGCTGGCTGCTGCCCATCACGCAGCGGTGTTTAATTTCTCAATGGGAGGGCAGGGAGATAATGCTGCACGGTCCCATTTAACCTGCTGGTGACCTGGTCTTAAGTCATTGTGGCTGAAAATAGACCGCGTTCCCTCCAGGGCACGGCTAATGGCGCTGGGAAAGCTGGGATCTCTCTTTGAAGGGTGATTTAATTGCAGCTGGCAGGCACTTGGTGCAGGTGATGTGGGGACCGGCACCCGTGCCATCCCGCAATAGCCTCCCCCCACCGAGCGCCTGTAGCTCTCCCAGCTCTGGCAGCGAAGGGTAACGAGCTCTTTTCTAACGAAGGCACGGGGCAGCGTCTCAGAGCCGGTGCGTGGGTGTCACTGGATTAATTGCACAGGCAGGGCTTGGCCCGCGGGGAGTGGGGGCTTGCCTGTTTTGATCACATCCTCTGGATTGCGTTTGGGTGATTTAAAAAAAAAGTAAAAATGGGGTGAGTTAAATTTTTGTGCTTAGGAAGGAGGGGAAGCACCTGCAACGAAGGTGTGCACCCAGTGCCAGGAGCAGAGTCAGCCCTAGGGCCACCGTGCCAGCCACCAGTTGCTGGAGGATCTTCACCGTGATGAAGGATGGACCAGAGCAAAGACATTTTGATGCTGTCCTAGAAAATCAGGAGAGGAGGGCGAGACTACAGTCTAGCAGCCAGGTTTCTGCATTCCTGGGGATTCTAATAATCAGTTTGAGAGTTAAAATTATTATTTTTTAATTTCCATACAGCATCTTAGTAAATGTGGAGCTGAAGAGCCCACCGGGTTGCTCCTTGCTATTTGAGGAAAGCTATGCCGTTGCGTAGTGAGAGCCTGGAGGTTTTGGTGGACCCCCGTTGGGGTGTCAGGTTTAATTACGCCAGCAGAAAAGGAGAGACATCCGACGTGGTGGGGGATTTCGGGCTGGGGACGCAGAGAAGAAGCTTCTGCTGTAGCAGCCGGCTGTGACCCCGCAGCGTTGACACTGGTTGGAGTGTTTGTGCGTCAGGATTAACGTGGGACTGGGTCGGTGCTTCCCAGACTGTGTGTTTCGGGCTGTGCAGTCCCAGGGGGATGCTTTCCACCCTAGCTCCTCCAGCAGGAGGAAAAGCCACCCTCCTTTTGCCAGAGGGATTCGTGTCCCCCCCTGGGTGGCTTCTTGCCCCCCCCCCCCCAAAGATGCTGCCAGCAGGGAGCTGGTGGGTCACCTCACGGGAGAGCTTTAGGGCACCTCCTCAGTGTCCTTCTCCTGTGGCCCCAAGCCCTGAAGCACCGGTAGACGTCACATTGCATTTGTTTTGTTGCACAGTGGAAACTGAGGCACGGGATGAGTCTGCAGGATGCCGGGGCGCAAGCGCCGATCCCTTGAGCCCTCGCAGCCGCTTCTCATTTTCTCCTCCTCCACCATCTCCGGGGCGTTGGGGCTGTTCCAGCTGCCAGGTGAGGAGGAGGTGAGCGGTAGGGCTCAGCCTGATGATATTTATTCCCACGGAGGCAGGGAAGCCTCCCGTGCCCTGTGCCCGCACCCTGCCCTCTGGTGTGCGGTGGCTGCGGGGGGGCCCAGCAGCGCGGTGATGCAGCGCGAGGGCGGCACGGCATCGGCACGGGGTAATGGCTGCGGGAGGGCTCGTCGGAAACCCGGTGGGAGCGCGCGGCGTTTTCTGTGCTGATGCAGCTGGGAGCAATAGTAAATATTGAGGAAGAGCCACTTAAAAATAAAGCAGCCTGGACACAGATTCCCACGTGGAATAAAATAAAATTAAAAGAAACAACAGAGAGCTGCACTGAGCTGGAGGGGGGAACTCGCCGTGGCTTTTAAGGTAGTGATTTTTGCAGCTGAAGGAAAGCGGCACGGCGGTGCGCGAGCTGGCAAAGGCTGGGAGCGCCGACCCCCCGCCGGAGGATGCTGTCTCCGACATGGGGAGTTAAATTGACCTGGCTCTTCTGGATCCGGGGGATGAGATTGAAGGCATTCGGGGGATGTGGAGTATCGAGGCTGTAAATTAAGGCTTTCAAGCAACTGCCAGCCCCGTGATACGGGGTGTAAATACAGCAGGGCCGGCTTTAGGGGCGGAGGGTGGTGGGTTGCGACAGCAGCAGTGGCTTGGGGCTGCAAGGACAGGGATGAGGTCTGGCTTTGGTTTCAGCCCAGCGTGTTTGGGGGCTTGTATTGCTGGCATCTCGTGCATGGCATGGAGTCGCGGTGGCTCGGGTGCCTTGGCTGTTACTAGAGCTGCCCTGGCAGATGGGAGGAGGTGGCAAAGATTTACACTGTCAGCACTCCTGGCTCTCAGCTGTTGTAGCCATAAATGTGTGCGTGAGGAACGGCTGCGGCTGTGCCTCGCTGTGCTGTATGTGTCGTGGGGCAGAGATGGGGAGGTGTGTGCTGGAGGGGGGGGCCCTAAAAAAGTCTGCCCGTGCTTGGACTTCTCCTGGTTCCCCTCCCTCCCTGCTGGGGAAAGGGGATTCATGAGGACGTAAGCGTTTATCCAGCTGTTTGTGGCATGGACTGGTGTCCCAGTTGGCTGCCGGTGGAGGTGCTGCGAGCTGGACTGGGGAAGAGGTGACCGTGCTCCCGGCTGAGGGCGTCTGCGGCTCCTGCTCCGCACCAGAGCCCAGCAGCCAGCTGAGCACCCCGGCTGCAACGGGGCTGCAAATCTCCCTTGGGTGCCCAAAGTTGAAAACATCCCATGGGATTAAACCCAAAGCCTTGCCGCTGGTGTTTCCCAGCCCCTCTGGGCTCAGACCAGAGGGACTGCAGGGCCAGGCTTTTTGGCTCAGGCCCCTCTGTGGCCAGCAGCCCCTTGCACAGCGCTGCATGGGGCCAGCCTGCTTCCTGGCAGTGTGTCCGTCCATCACGGCCCGGGGAAGATGGGGCGAGATGCCGGCGGTTGGAAATATTTCATAAGTGGCAGAAACCCATAACGGGCAGACGGGGCCGGTGGGGGAGAGTTACTTCACTTCTCCTGGGGCACTGGAGGCTGCCGGTCTTCCGGTGACAGGGCTGCGGCTTCTCCGGCAAAGATGGCTTGTGCCCGGGGCTCGGCTTCGGGGCGTGCTTTGCAGTGGCATTGCACGTGGCTGCCTGCTGGCCCGTCCTGGCCATTGGGACTGTCACACAGCTTCGTCCTGTTGTGGGATTCCCTTCGAGGTGACAGCAGGGACCGGAGAGCCGTCTGCGGGCATGAACAGAGGCTTTGCCAATGCTGCTTCTCCCTGGTGCGTTGGTGCTGCTGGCTGGTTTGGAAAACTGGACCAGGGGATTGAATTCCTCGTTGAGTGCCAGTCCTGCTTGCTGTCCTTGACCCTTGTGGGTGCCGGAGTGAGCTGTCACCTCTGCGCAGGGGTGCTGTGGAGGTGCCGGCTGGTTGCCTGCAGCCGGGCTGGGTTGGAGCAGCTTTCCCAGCACTGGACATCCACCCGCCCGCCTTTGCCACCTCGGCCAGGCAATGTTTTCTGGTGGCTCCCTCCTCCCGGGTAGCTTTGGGCAAACCCCGAGCGGGCTGGGCACGTGGGGCCCGTTTCCCTCCTGCTTCCTCCAGCGCGACCTCCAGCCTCCAGACGTTTGGTGTGTGGTTTGTGCGGTCGCTGGTATCTCATCTCCCCATCAGTCACATCCCCTCTCGGTGGTGAGTCACCCGGCCATACCTCTTCCCCCCCTTGTTGCCGTTTTGGGGAGCTGAGCAAAGATGAAGAAGATGTTTTCAACTGGGCTGACACATCTGCACCCGCCAAGTTCCTCTCATAACAGCCCTTAGTGATTTATGTCTCAATCGTGCGAAGCAGGTACATTCTACTAGCTCATCTTGGAGCTGGGAAGGAGGGGATGGGCACAGTCCCTGCTCCATGCCCACCCACTACAACCACTGAAGCATCGCAGGGGGAGCGGAGCAGGGACGTGCATTTTGGCTGCTGGCTGTCACCTTCCTGCAGGGCTGAGGTGGCCCGATCGAGGGACGATCTCTGTGCCCCTCTGAGCTGGGCTGCTTTGGATCATGTGTGCCCACACTGGCAAAGTGCCCGCGTGGGATTCGTGTTGGTGGTGCCTTTCCCAGGCAGGCAGAGGCCGTGCTGGTGGGCACACACGTTTGGCGTGGCGTGGCAGGGGGGGGGAGGGAAGGGGGCACGGCCGGTCTGGTGCTGGCAGCGCTGCTGGCTCGCACCACCCTGCCTGCGCCGTGGTGCCAGCCCGCCTCTGGGCGAGCAGTTGGCTGGAGGAGCGTGGCTCAGCCTGCCCAGACCTGTCGGTTTGTCCTTGGGCAAAAAGGATCTTGCGCTGGTTCAGCAAACACTCTGGCCCCGGGCAGATGGAGATGGTTGTGGTTTCCCCCTTTCCCCTCCCTTTCCCCTGGCAGAAGCCCATGGTTGGGGTGAGCTATGTGTTGCTCACTGCGGTAGAGTTTCTCCCCTTGGCATCGCTTTCTGGCGTGGAGATCCAGGAAGGGAGTGACTTGCCCACGGCCACCTCCTGCAAATGCAGCTACTTAGCGCATGAAGGAGCAGCTTCACCTCCAGGTCCTGCCTGGGGGAACGGGGCAGCAGGTTTTGGGCTGTGTGCGAGTCTTACGCCAGCCCATCAGCATTGCTGCTGGAAGGCTATATGGAAGAAGGGATGCTCTGGTAGTGCCTGGAGGTTGTATTTGCATTAGATTCACCCCCGGGAAAGCTGTGGCTCGGATCCCTCCTCCCTGCCCCAGTTCTGGTTCCTGGCAGGGAGCGGGCCAGGTA